AATTTAAAAATTTAAAAAATAATTAATAAGACTAGTTTAGTAAAATGAATCTTTAACATAAATACAATAAAAGATGTATGAAACTTATAAAAAAAAATAGTGTAACAGTTATTATTAAAGTTGCACATTAAAAATTAAGGGGTTATGAGCATAGAAAACATGATTATGGTTATTATTATTTGGCATTTGGCTCTAGAATTCAAACATATATTTTTTTACTGTATTTGAAATAAATGAAATTATAGTTGAACATGGAGTCATGTTTATTTTTGCAAAACAAAATATTTGAAATGATATTCATGTTTGAATGTACTTAAATATAATTTTAAAAATCAAAAGCGAGTTGAAAAATCAGATTATCTAACATGTTTTCCAAATTTGAAATATATATTCGAGTTGAAAAAGTTGTATTCAGATGTTCATTATCAAACATCAATTTTTAAATTAAGTGAAAAAATATCATTTTTTAAGAAATAATTCTTATGTTTGAATGAGTCCTAAAAGTAGAAGTTAAAAAATATGAAATATGAAGATAATTTTTTTAAAGTATGATTAATAGAAAATTGTCTTGTTTCAAATATTTTTTTCTAGATTTCCAAATCATTTTGTATAGTTGTCTATCAATCTATGTCATCCTTATTTCATAGTTAATTACTATCAATTAAAATTACCTAGATTTATAGTTATAGAGAGAAAAGCAAAATATAAGACATTAATTATTATCCATATTAATTAGAAGATGATCTAACTAACATGGATAATCACTACCTAAAATGCTAAAAATAAATAAAAAATTATTAGTCAAAAAATATAATTTATGACTTTTGACTTATAGTCATAAAAAAAAGAGAGTCAAACAAGCTCTATGAAACAACTATAAATAAGGGTGTATACTAGAGAAGGTAAAATAAAACATTGAACTAATTAATTATAAGAAAATGAGTTTTCTTCCTTATTGGTTTTATCATTTTTATTATTTCTTCAACAAACAAATGCTATTATTGTTCATGTAGTTGATGGTATAGCAAAAAATGATCCTCAATTGATATATCACAGTGCATCTAGAGGTGATGATCTCGAGAAGCATTATCCCAAATTTAATGATGATTTTCATTTCTCGTTCAAAAAATATATATTCTCTGATGGTGTCTTTTTGTCATTTTTGGTGGGGTCAAAAAAACAATATTAGATTTAAAGTGTATAGAGAAACTGGAGCTTGTGGGCATGAAACAGGAGGATCTAACAAAGGAATATGTTATTGGTTAGTTAAAGAAGATGGTTTCTATTTTGCTATTAATGACAATCCTCCTCCATCTACTTTTGTTAGACAATTTGGTTGGTAAAAAATTAATGTAATTTAATATTTGTTCTCCAATTATAATCTGAAATGAAAATGAAATTTATTATGAATATGTCAATTCCTATAGTGGCTTTATTTCATTGTAGTTAGCTAATATATTGAGATTCATGAGAATGATCGGGTGGTTGAAATTTTGATACTATGAATATAGTTGAGTAATTAAGAATATATATTTTGAGGACACCATTAATCTAGCTATAACTGAGACACCAACATTGATGAATCGAACGTATAACATTAATGACATTGTACTCGTCCGCCTCATCCGCTAGCTCTTAGTCAACTAACCAAAAACTATGTACGGGGATTTTCCTTTCATCATATGAATTTCCTTTTTATTGTTTTTTCTTCCGTTTTAAATGTCTTTTTCTCGCCTATTAAAGACACCTTTGTGTGAAATTTTTGTGTTGCTATTGGTCCGTTCTTTTTTAATCCATGATAATTATTACAAAATATTGAAATCTCATTCTCATGTAGGTGATTATCCACTTGAAATCGAACATCAGGTTACCTCTCTTGTTTTCATTCCATCGTGAAAAGGTAGAGGACAAAATTAACCCTACCAACAATTATTACTATCCCCCTATTTATAAAACATGTACTTCTTGACCTAGTGTTTTGGTTACTTTTAAGATTTCAAAATTCTCAATCAACTCTATTAATCATTAAGTTACGCCGTTAGATACAAAAATAGAATAGATAATTTGCTATTACATGTTACTATGCTATAATGTAATAGTATTGTACAATGTATACAACTCGAACTATTTCATAGTATAATTTTAAAACAACTCTATTATGGTCAATTGAAAATCATATTGTTTCTAATAAAATTGTCTAGATCTCAAAATCATTATGTATAGTTATTTTATTATCATAATCTATTAGAGGATGTTTGGATTGACTTAAAAGTTGGTCAAATCTATTTTTTACATCAGTTTTTAATTATTGAAAGTGTTTGACAAATATAAAAATAGCTTAAGATAAATAAAAAAAATGACTTAAAATAAGTTGGGAAGTGTTTGGCAAGGTAAAAAATAACTTAAAATAAGTTTAAAATGACTTAAAATAAGTCAAAAACCCATAGTAGGTCTCCCCCAACTTTTTTATTTTTTGATTTAAAAGTTATTTGAGTTTGACTTTTTATTTTTGACTTAAAATCTACTTTTTTTAAGCCAATCCAAACGAACTCCTAAAATTAAAGTTGGTCAAATCTACTTTTAAGTAAGTTTCTTACTTCTAAAAGTGTTTGACAAATATAAAAATAACTTAAAATAAGTCAAAAGCGACTTAAAATAAGTAAGGAATTGTTTGACGAAGTTAAAAATAACTTAAAATAAGTTTAAAATGACTTAAGAAAAGTTAAAAACCAAAAGTAGGTCTCTCCCTACTTTTTTATTTTTTGACTTAAAAGTCATTTAAATTTGACTATTTATTTTTTGACTTAAAAATAATTTAAGCTTGACTTTTTATTTTTTGATTTAAAAGTTATTGAAGTTTGACTTTTTAAATTTTTGACTTAAAAATCATTTAATTTTGACTTTGTATTTGTTGACTTAAAAGTCATTTAAGTTTAACTCTTTTTTTTTACTTAAAAGTCATTTAAGTTTGACTTTTTATAGTTTTAACTTAAAAATTACTTTTTTAAGCCAATCAAAATGAGCTCTTATAATCTATGTCATCCTAATCTCATAGTTACTATCAATTATCAATTAAAGCTACCTAGACTATTAGAGAGAGAAAAGTAGAATATAAACACAAATTATTATCCATATTATTAATTAGAAGATGATCTAACTACCATAGATCATTACTACCTAAAATGCTAAAAAATAAATAAAAAATCATTAGTCAAAAAATCTAATTTATGATTTTTGACTAATGAGTCATAACTGAAAAACTAATTCAAACAAGATTTAAGAAACAACTATAAATAAAGGTGTTTACTAGAGAAGGTAAAATGAACATTGAACTAATTATAAAAGTATGAGTTTTCTTTCAATGAAAAATTGTTTTTCTTCCTTATTGGTTTTATCAATTTTATTATTTGTTCAACAAACAAATGCTGCTGCTACTTGTCATATAGTTGATGGTATTGAAAAAAATGATCCACCAATAAAATTTCATTGTGCATCTGGAAATGACGATCTCGGGATACATTATCCTAAATTCAACGATGATTTTCATTTTAAGTTCGGATTTAATTTGTTTCGTGAGACGGTGTTCTTTTGTCATTTTTGATGGGGTACAAAAGATGTTAAGGTTGAAGTGTACAGAAATAGCGAAAATTGTGGTGCTGAAGGGGGACTTGACTCAGGAACATGTTATTGGTTAATTAAAGAAGATGATTTCTATTTTTCTCCTAAATATAATCCTCCTGCATCTGAGTTGATTAGAAAATATGGTTGGTAAAAATTAATGTAATTTAATTGAGTAGTACTCATGAAATGAAAAAAATACTTTAATTTTTAGTTTCAAAATTGTGTCACAATCAAAATTCAGTAATTAAAAATTATACCATTATTTTTAATATGTTCAGGCCTATATATTGATATTGAGTCAAGAACAATTAAGAGTTTTAATTATATAAAATCACCAAGTGAAAAGGAAAAAATTAGCAATCATTAAAAGATTTAGCTACCAATAGTACATCAAGATGAAGTATTTAATAAAGTATTAGTATAATTGACCCTTCTAATTTATAGATCGTGACGGAATATAATACGTTAATTGAAATGAAGATAAATAGAGTTTCGTACGTTAATTGAAATGAAGATAAATAGAGTTTCGTGTAAAAGATAGAACGATAAAAAACTCTTCATGTACTCTTTTTAAATTTCATCAAGCCTATCTGCTCAATTTGCTTCATATTAGAGTTTATGGTTTTAAGATCACACCTTTAATATGGTTGTGTTCGCCAACTACACGATACTTAGCACAAACATCAAGTAAATGATATCACACACTATAAAACCTCCTAAAACGTGAAGAATATTGTATAAGCTGATTGAATAAATTAATTCATTTTTGTATATGAATATTTATTTTGGGTAATATTTAAAGTACAACTTTTCTAGGGGAATTTTCGCATATAGCCATTCAAAGATAATTTTATTGTGTTTCATAACTATAGTTTGTTAATTATGATTCTGTAATATTCCGTAACTTAAAATACATTTGCGACTCGTAAACACCAATGTATAGATGTGATATTGGGAGAGGTATATCATTGAAAATGGTTAAGCACACCATGTAACCCTTACATTTAGTCATTTTAAGGGTTAAACAAAAGTTTTAGGCCAAAGAGATCATTAAAGAAAAGATTAAAGTTTAAAGGTTCGTTGTGGAGGAATACTACAAATGATCTCATTTCTCATCTGACTTTGAATGAGTATATCTCCTAATATATAAAGAGTTAGAACGCCTACAACCTATCCAATTGAAGGTATTTGAGTCTAGTTTCCAGCAAAATAAACCGCTCGTTAAAACGATATCGGAGTAAAAAGTTATGTTCATTCTACAACAGTACGCGCGCACTGACCAATCACTGCGGGACATGTGGCACTTTAGAGAAAGTCGGCCAAACTTGTTATTTTATATTAGAAGTTTGGGATATACTTTCTCATATACTCAAGAACTTGTAAGGACTGGTTTCAAGTATTTCTTCAAGTTTTCCTCATCTTCAATCCACCAAAGCTTAAGGTAAGTTGGTTTCTTCAAAAATCAAGTGTCTTCCTTTCCATATACCTATATATATACTTAGCTAAATGTTTTCTTGAAGGAAAAAGTATTGTTCTTGGAGAATAAAGAAGGGTAGGGGCTGGTTTTCTTTGATATATAGGTATGAATCCTCTTCTATCTTCATAAATAGTATTCCAAGGATGTTTTAAGTATAATTTGCAGGTAGGACTCACGGGACGGTGATAGGAAGCCGTGAGTCCATGGTTTACCCATTGTATTTGATGTTTTGGTGAGGATGGAGTTTGTAGAAGGTTGTGTTGGCTGTGGTTTTGACCAAATGAGGGGTCAATAGTATTGTATTAGGGAGGTAAGCTGGTTACATTAAAACGGAAGGCGATGTATAGAGAACGCGACTATTATAGTTCTTGAAAGTTTGTCGTTCACCAAGTGTTTGATGAAATTCCTAAGTCGTTAAGAATATGTTGTAGCTGGTTATATGAACTCCTATTATTTTAATTTATGGCATTAGTTCTCTACCAACTTAAACTATGAGCTTATAAAGGAATTTGACATCATTAACAAGGAACCGGTGGGATGGTGATCGGAGGCCATGAGTTTTACTTTTATGTTAAGTATGGATGATTAACGGGGCTGGTTCTTTATGGTTAAAGTATGATAAGTAATACTGAACATGTAAATAAGTCATAAGCCTACTTGGAATGTAGAGAAAGAGAAGGGTGTGGTGATACACCATTCATCTATGGTAATTATTGAGTTTGTCGCTCGCGAACCATTATTGTGTTTTTGGCATTATTGTGACTCTTGATTAGTTTCTTGTACTATCCTTTTATGATTTTATGTTATAGATAAAGTTGTTAGCAAAGGAGTTTGACGACGTAAGATAGTAAGTCCCGAATTAAGGTATGTAAAGCTGAAACCTCTTTTACCCTTAAGGTAGGACCTAAACTCGCATGTTCTTCTGATAAATGTCACTATAGATTTTATAAACCCTCTCATGTTGGGTCCTAAACCTATAGAGTTATAGTACTCTTAAAGGAAGCAATATGTTTCACACAACTACATTTATCCACAGTTGGAACTCTTAGAAGTTAGCGGTGTACATGTTGCATAAATTTAAAGAAAGAAGCCAACCACAGACTGTTCGTAAGTGCATAGGTTACCATATATATGATTCTCAAGCTAAAAAATATAATCACAAATTGTATCACGAGCTATGTGGTTAATGAATTAATTATTATAAATAATTGCAAGCAGTTGAGATTATAGACTACTCCGCAGCGTAGGGTGGGTATATTTAGGGCTACTACGTGCGACGCTACTCTGTGCACAGAATTCAGATATGGTCAGCTGAAATTCCTATCGTGGATTCACCTGACTGATACAGGCTTGCGGGAAGACCATACAAGAGCCCTGGGAGGCGTACCTTGATAGACCTCGTTACCAGACTATGAGATTTCACGCCTGGTTGTGACAGTGGGCTACAGATGCCATACAGGGTTCACTAATCGCCGTCAGTAGGCCATCATGTGATTCCCTGACAGTTAGTTTTACAAAGAGCAAATAAGCGATATAATGAAGTAAAGATATCACCTAGGCAAATTATAGGGATTATATATATAAATGACTAAGCCATAAAACGTTCGATGAGGACCATTGAGGTTGGTCACAATTCAAGTTACAGATTATGTCTCCTGCATACACATGCTCAGATTTGCCTATCATGATATTTGATGTCTATTGTTATTCATTTTGCTTTACATACCAGTACATGTTTTGTATATACTAACGTCCCTATTATTTTGGCATTTCATTTGTATCACTACAGGCTTAGGTACTCAGGACAACAAGCATTTTCAGTAGACTAGAGACTTCCAATTTAGTAGTTGGTAAGCTCCACCTCTACCTAGAGCTATCAAATATTTGGAGCCTATATTTTGCTACATATGTACATATATCAGAATGGGTATGTCGGGGCCCTGTCCCAACTAGTTATTAGATTCTCAGAGGCATACTCTTTAGAGGCTTCGTAGACTTAGTCCTGTTTCCGTTGTAAAGTAGCCCAACGGGCCCTTTTGTTATTTATGTTTTAGTATGTGTCTTCATATAGGTTCCGATGCTTATGAATCTTCAGCTTTGGCATGAGATTAGTAAGATATTTAGCAGGTGCTTGTGTATATCCTTGATGTTTGCCCCTTTCTAGCTAGGGGTGTGACAGATTCGTAGCTACATGTTAGAAGGGAGGAGAGAGGCGAGCGAGAGAGAGAGTAAATAGTGGAGAAATATGAATTGTGTATGTATATTTGTCGGATTGTATATGTATATCTGTCAAATAATTATATATATGTAACTGGTATGCATATATATTTGTATATCGGGCGAGCGAGATTGAGAGAGGGAGGAGAGAGTGAGCGAGAAAGGGCAGAGAGTGGAGAAACACAAATTGTATATGTATATTTGTCAGATAGTTCTATATATGTAACTGATATACATATGTATTTGTATATCTGGCGAGCGAGATTGGGAGAGGGAAGAGAGAGGCAAGCGAGATTGGGAGAAGGAGGAGAGAGGCGAGCAAGAGAGGGCAGAGAGCCGAGAGAGACTAGTTGTATTCATATTTATGTTAGATAATTGTATATATAATGTGTATAATTTGTATGTGCATATTTATAAGTGTTGTAATTACAACTAAAATTTAGTTATAAGCCGTAATTAATTCAAACTATAACCATATTAGATAATTAACTAGTATATGTTTGTTTATCGCGTAATTTTTCTACTATGTAGATTATGATTTTGATTTGAAAAAACTTTTTCTTTTGCTTAAAAAGTACACGTGTCAGCCCATTAAACCTCACTCCACGTCATAGTTGTAACTGCAGGTGGGTATAACAAATATAAATAAATAACATTATTAAAAAATAAAAATAAAAATCCAGAAAAAAAGCAAAAATAGATAACAGAAATTTAAATTTTTAATGCTGTAATTTTACAGAAAAGGAAAAAAAAGTTTTTTATTTCTTCTTCTTCGATCTCCTCAGATCCCCTATTTCTGAATCGAATTTAGGGCTTGTTTTTCGCCCCATTTTTTCCGAAAATTCAATTTTGGCCCGTTATGTACTCGGATTTTTAACCGTTTTACTCCGAAAATTGAGGATTAGGATTTGTTTTTTTTGTATACAAAAACAATTTTTGTATATGAAATGAAATGTAGATTGATTGATCTTTTTTTTATAGGAGAATTTTGGGGCTTATTTTTAGGGTTTTTAGATGAGGATTTAAGAGGAAAGATTTTATTTTTTGAGGATTTTGGATGGCATCAGCTCAGGTACTAAAAAAGCAAGAGCATTTGCAAGCTGGGAAAAAGAAGGTAATTGGGTTTTGTTTGAATTATGGAGAAAGGGTTTGTTTTGGTTTGGTTGAATATAGTTTGTTTACTTGAATGTTTGTTAAGTACTACTTCTATTTAACTCCTTGATAATGTTAAAGAACTGAATTCTGAAAAAAGGTTTTGTTTTGGTTTGGTGAATTTACTGTATTTACTTGAATTTTTGCTCATTAATAGTTCTATTTAACTGGTTTGGAATGTTAATGAGCTGAGTTCTACTGGGAATGTTAGTAGTTGAGTTAGTTGGCTACCTGAACTTTAGGGAGTGTGATTTCCACCTTGTAAAAGAGTTGAATTCTAGGTGGAATCGTAGTAGCTTAGTTGGTTGACTAGCTGAAATTTTGTGTGTTTGATTCCCCACCTTGTAATCCACTCCCCATTTTCCCTTAATGAAAAAAAAGGAGCTGAATTCTATTTTTGGAGAAGGTTTTAAATGAATGGCATTCTACTTGGAGTGAGAAATAATGAGTGATTGTAATTTGTAGAGTCTTTTGAATTGTTATAAGTACCTTTAGATAGTTATCATCTACTCGAAGTGATGGACGGACTCCCTTTATGTATTTTCAAGAATGTGAAGAAAAAAATTGAGGCGCACTGTCTATTTTATCCTTAATCATCCGTGAACAAGGATTACTACTTGAATTTTGATTTGTGAAATCGAACTTTAATCAAGATGTGAATGGCGTGGCCCCATCCTCACCCCATCAGTAAATTCTACTATTCTAGTGTTTTACTTGGAGGCAATTTCATGTATGAAGTTAAAACACACCAAGATTTAGGTTTGAGGTTGAAGATTGAGAAGGTTCTTTTTGTCAATATTTATTTTTCATGACCGGTGGTTGAGTAATTTCTAGAGTTCAACTTTTATAGACAGTTCTATTCAAGTGGGGCTGACAGCGAAAGATCACTGCCTAGATCTTCTTCCATAGGGGAAGTGCTTATATGTCTTAATACTTGAACGGATCTAGCATGAAATGAGCTTATAATGTCAATAAGATACTTCACCTTATAAAAAAAAGGAAAAAAACCACTAGGTGATGCTTTACAAAAGGCTTGGTTGTACACAGATTTGATTATTTCAGGCTTGTATTTACCCAAAAACTCTGAAACATATAATCAAGTAAAGCTGGTCAAGGACTGATTCAGAAGATAGCAAACCAGTGAGTCTGGTCTGAAGCATATCTTAGTTCTGATCAATCTGATCTTTTTAGGTAGAAGTGAACATTAGCGAAAATCAGTGTGTTGAGAATTGAGATAGCTGTTTTTATGCTTATCTCTAGCTGTATAGCTTACAATAACTAGCAACAGGTATTATTTCAGGGCATCTTCTATTGAAGCACTTGTTAACATTGGTAGAAGATAGCAAACCAGTGAGTCTGATTTGAAGCATATCTTAGTTCGGATTAATCTGATCTATTTAGGTAGAAGTGAACATTAGCCAAAATCAGTGTGTTGAGAATTGAGATAGCTGTTTTTATGCTTATCTCTAGCTGTATAGTTTACAATAATTAACAACAGGTATTATTTCAGGGCATCATCTATTGAAGCACTTGTTAACATAGGGTTTAAACTTGCAAAACATAGTCATTTGTCAGTGCAAAGATTTTAATATGTTGGGCTGACTGGTTTGTAGGTACTTCTTTTCTTCCTTATGTGCAACCAAAGGTGGTATCCTAGGCTGCCACATCAGTGCTGATATCTTTTGAAAGCACATTGATGCTGATTTCTTTTGAAAGATCGCACCTTAAAGGGCTCCAGAAGCCATCTTTCAAAATGTTAATTTGTTATTTACCTTGTCATTTTAAACAATTTTAATACTTGTATTAGCCGCACTGGCAATTCCCATCTTTAAGGAATCTGGGTTCATACCCTGGTAGCTGAAATACTCTTTCTTGAGCGGAGGGTCATTTGGAAACAACCTCTCTCCCTCCATGAGATAGGGATAAGGTCTGGGTACACTCTACCCTCTCCAGACCCCACTTGTGAGATTTCATGGGTATTTGTTGTTGTTGTTGTTGTATTACCTTTTTTTTTTTTGGAATATTGTGACATCAAGAACTCCTAAGAAATTAAGTAGGTATTGCCAACAAGTTGTGGCATCCTGCTAAAATTATGGTTATCATCACAAGATGTTACCAACCTCTAAATTAATCTTCTTGCATAGTGAAGTAGGTTGTAGGATACACCCTTTTTGCTTTTTGTCTTTTCTTTTGATTTCACTAAGTTGCAATTGCCTTGTCTTACTAAAGAATATCTGGTTTTGTACATTACACACATCTTTAGTTTACCCTCTTTCTGTATTTGGAAACTTTTTAATTTTGAACTTCCCATTCTGTGGTATGGATTGTAACTTTCCATAAATTTCCCATTTGTCACGCAACGACGGAACCTTGCTTTAACCGTGACAAAAAGATTTTTTAGCCATAGAAGTGCTATGTGATATTTAAGTTCACAAGTTCTAAGGATACTTTTGATAAGTTCTCTTTCTTTCTTAACCTAATTTCCCAGTCATACCAACATATAAAATGAACCCAGGGGAGTCTGTATCAATTTGTTAGTTTTCTTTACTCAAATTTCCCTCTTAAATGATCCATTCATGATTAAACCTTAGTGCTTGGTTCTGTCCTTTCTTTTATCTGGCTTCATTTTTACCATCTTATTGTCTGACGTTTGGTCTGGCAAGTGGTAACGGATTCTCTAACTGATTATAATTGGTTCACCTGTTTTAAATTTTGTCTGAGGCATACTTGTCTAGGTGTCTATAAAAGCCTGATGTAATTAGTCACGTTGCTTATCAAAAAATGTATTTGATCATCTGAACTCCAATTACAGATATTTCTAGGATTGTTTGGACAAGGTTTCTGGAATGTATGATGTACTTATTTTATTTATTGGAATTAGTTTAAATGAGTTGTGTCATATATACATGGCAAAGTCACTTTCTTTTTTTTTTCTATCAATTTTTGTAATCAGACGGCTGGATGAGTCGGTCGTTTGCAGTATTACTTTAATTTGATGTATGTGATTTGCTTTCTTGGTTGAATTCAATGAAACCAGGGTGAGCTTGAAGCCGTGAAAATGGAATATGCAAATGTACAATTGGAATGTAATGCTGCTGATGAGCGTGCCAAAGTGTTGGCTTCTGAAGTGATTGGCTTGGAAGAGAAGGTAATTAACTGCAGTATTCCTGTCTGTTGACCCAAATAATTTCATAGGAATGTCTATACCAAAATAATTGTCAGGCATGTAGTGAGTTTAATTTAATTTTAATACTACATGTAGTTGTCCTCTTTGTTACTGGTTTCACATTTAAATTTGAAAGTTGTTTAACTTGATTACCATATATCATAGACTGAATTAGTGTAATGTCATTTACATTTTAAAATTATAATTTAGTGATAAAATTTTAAAATTTAATGATAACTTTAATCACGTCAGGAAACACATGAAGAACAAAATAAAAATAGAAAAACTTAAAGTTACTGGAGAAATGTGTTTTCCGGCCAGATTTGGTTGTTGGTGGTTGTTCCGTTGTTGAACTTTAAAGCTTGCTGGTTTTAGAGTTGAATCTGGTTGGGGTTTCGGGTTGGTTTCGCTTGGAGTTCACCGGATTTCACCGGAGAAGACACAAAGCAGCAACGTTGTGAGCTTTGAACTACTGGAGCTCGTCGATTTGAGCAAAAAACACCTGAAAACAAAAGAAAATTGTGAAGGGGAAGAGGGGAAATGGACTGGCGTGGTGGATCTGTTGTTGTTGGCCTTTCTGCCGAAGCCAAAAGAGTTGAACTGTAAAGGGGCTTGGTGGTTTTGGGTCTGGTTGTGTTTTGCTGCTTCTTTGTGGTGGTTTTAGTTGAGGAGATGTAGCAATGAGTGAGGTCTTTGCTGGTTCTGTTTGGCAGTGGGCGATGGTGGCTTGCCGGAGAGGGTTTTGTGGACTTCAGGCGTGAAGAAGAAGGAAGATGGAGGGGTTTTTCTGGTGGCTGGTTGGGTTGGAGAAGAAGAGTGTGGTTTTTGCAACGAGAGTTGTTGGTCGGAAACGGAAAAGAAGGAGATGATGAGGAAGGAGGGTGGCGGCTAAGGGAGGAAAATGGGAGAGGAAAAAATTAGGGTTTTTGCCATTTAGGAAATTCTTACCCCTTCTAAAAAATAATTCACCACCTTGACTTAATGAATAAGCTATTGTTTATATAGAAAATTGAAATCTACCTATAGTACGATACCATTATCTTAAAACCATGGGCTGAAACCACTAGTTAAAGAAAATATCTGTGTATGAAATCTTATCTATATTTAAATAAATTTCTAGATTGTGCAAAATATTTAAATTAATATTAAAAAATATAACAAATAAAAATGAATATTAAAAAAATGTAATGAACGTAACTAATGAGATATAAAAAATGCAATTTAATAGAAATAACGATTTAATCAAAATGAACAAATAATTGAACGTAGTCAACTAGTTGTGACAAAAATAATGTAATTAAAATTAACTGATAAAAAATTCTAAAATTTTGACAAATAAAGATAAATATCAATAAGCTTACTTAGAATGTATTTTGACCTATTGAATAAATAAAACTTAAAAGCTATGAATTTTGAAAATGTTAGGCCAAAATTGGGTGTCAACAATGCCAATTCAAAAAAAATAATGTTTTTGTAGGAATTTTTGGAAAAAAATCAAGAAAATTGGATACACTCTCTCTGTCCGAGTTTATATGACTCACTTTTCTTTTTGTCAGTCCTTATAAACAAAATGACACATTTATATATTTAGTAACAATTTAATTTTAAAATATCAATTTTACCTTCAATGAAATAATTTATAGCCACACAAACATCTATCACTTATTTTATTTCACAAATTTCAATCTTTATTTTTGAATTTCATGTCAAATCAGATTAACTCATATGAAATGGGACGGAGAAAATAATAAGATATCGGGAAGAAACTGGATAGTTTCCCATAAAAGAAATAATTAAAAAATCCTCTCTTAGATTCTTTTGGTTGACATTGGACAGTTTTTTCTTTCCCAAATTCTCCTCAAATCCACCACTTAATTACCCCAACTGCCACTTCATCTTCACTCTCCTCCCATGGCTACTCTGCAAACTCATCTCCATTTTCCCATCTCTTCTTCACCAAGATTGTTCCATTTCAAAAACCCCAATTCAGTTTCTTTCTCAAAAAGGCTTTTTTTCTCCAGAAAGCTTAATGGGTTGTTTAGTTATGCTGAATTTGGTGCAAAAGATTCATTCTTTTGTTGTTGTCAAGCTAGTGGTGAAATTTTACCCCTTTCATCAGCTCAGAAGGAGAAGGAGACTAATGAAAGGCCTCCTTTTGATATCAATTTGGCTTTCATTCTTGCTGGTTTTGCTTTTGAAGCTTATACTAGTCCTCCAGTAAATTCTCAATCTTTATATGTTCATTTTTATGTTTTTCTCTGCTCAGTTGGTTGGTTATTAAACTTGTTGTTGAGGGGTTCAATTTCTACCCTGTAATACCCTACCTCATTTTTGAAAATTAAAACATTAAAAAAATAATATGAAAAATAGATTCTAATAGAGCATGTCTTTCGGAAATAGTCTCTCTACCTCCACGAGGTAGTGGTAAGGTTTGCATATAAGGGGAAAATGAAAGTGCGCTCGTGTGCACCAGCTGAAGAAAGGAGCTTTGGAAGCTTACCTTATTATTATATTAAAAGGGGAAATCTACCCTCCCCAGACTCCTCTTGTGGGATTTCACTGGGTATGTTGTTGTTGTTCATTGTATTCTAATAGAGCAAATGGTATTGAGGTGTAGTTGATTGGCTTAAAAAATCAATTTTTTTTTGTAAATAAGTGTTGATAGGTAGTTGTATTTCACTGGGTATGTTGTTGTTGTTCATTGTATTCTAATAGAGCAAATAGTATTGAGGTGTAGTCGATTGGCTTAAAAAATCAATTTTTTTTTGTAAATAAGTGTTGATAGGTATGTAGTTGTTCATTTTTCTATTTCTTTCTTTATTAATAAATTGAAAATGGACTTGAATAGAGTGTATGGATATCGGGGATTCTTGTAGTAGCTAACTCCAACTAGTTTGTAATTGAGGTGTAGTTGATTGATTGACTAAAGATTTCTCTTTTTTTGTAAATAAGAATGTTAATATGTATGTAGTCTTTTTTTTATTTTAAATAAATTGAAAATGGACTCGAATAGAGTGAATAGATATTGAGGATTCTTAAAGTGGACTCCAACTAGTTTGGGGTTGAGTTGGAGTTGATTGATCGACTGTTGATTCATTTTTTGTAAATAAGCATGATGATGTGTATTAGCTGTGGATTGGAGGAAGGAAATTGCTTGCCAAAGTATCTTGCATTGTGGGTTCTTTTCAGTTTGGTGCTGTAGAAGTCATAGAGGACATGCTCGTAAAGTATTATTTTGTGCTGCCTTTAAAGTTGTGATCTTTGAGTTTCAGTAATTCGTTTTCATTCGTATTATTGTTTTGGTATCTTATCACTCTGTTGCGATTCTAGTTTAGGAAATGAACATAAATGTGGTTTCCCTATAGTAGTCATACCCCACAAACTCATGATTCCCTATAGTAGTCATACCCCACAAACTCATGATAGTAAATGAAGGGAATATTTTCTTCATAAACATATAAGGTGATGATCACTTGCCTAACTGGATTTTCGTTGAACTAAATTTTGCTTAGAAGGAAATTAAGCTTGCAAATATTCTACAAATCTTGATCCCCCAAGGCCTAGCTCGAGTGGCAAAAGGTGGAGGATTTGTGGCTTAGGTCGCAGGTTCAAGCCCCACACCATGCAAAGCGAAGCCCGGTATTTAAGTGGAGAAGGGTAGAGGGGCGGGCCCATTATCCACCGAGTTTAGAAGGCTGTGATTGGTCCAAAGGGCGGGTCACAGACGGATTTCTCGGTTATCAAAAAAAAAAAAAAAAAAAAAATTCTACAAATCTTGAAATGTTTATGAAGCAAAAAGTAATTAAGCAGTTGAGTTATTTTCCAAGTCTGATCCAATTTGCTTTGTTTGATATTGCTTGATCAGGACAATGTCGGAAAGCTTGAGGTGGATGCAGCTAATTGCAAAACCATATTTCTTTCAGAGTATGTAGTTGTTTCTTTTAACTGAAACAGAAAACTTAAACTGTAGGAACTTGAGTTATAGGTCTGTTAAATTGGTCGGATCAAGTAAAGGGCACACGTATGTTCCACTAGTGACGGCTATGAAGAACGCTCATATCCGATTGTTTTTGTCTCATTTAGCTTAGTTTGTTTTGCCTTTTCTTTTAAATCAAAATCGCCTTAGACAATATGTCAGGTTACCCAAAACTAGATTCATGCATGTGCAACTGTCATTTGTGCGTGAAATTTATGACGGCCAGTTGTTCGTAAAGCTAAAGAAAGGTCTCAATTTACCTGCTATGGATCCTTGGGTAAGGTATCTGCCATTTAACATTAGCAAACGATCAAATTTCAATTGAAACGTGCCTTACTGTACTTTCCTTATTCAAATGATTGCTTCTAATGCATTTATTTAATTTGCTGACTCCTGTTTTGATTTAATTGCTTACTTTTCTAACCAAATTTCAGGGAACGAGTGATCCGTATGTGGTGTTACAGCTAGATAGTCAAGTTGTCAAAAGCAAGGTGAAATGGGGGTAGGTAGTTGGTCATGTGTTATACTGCAACCTTTTACTCTTTTCAGTTGGAACTTCTCTAGATCTTGTAGGTTTACTTAACAATGAATCAGGATCTTTGCATGTAGTCAACATATTCCTGTGCAAGTATTGCTTGCATAAGCCGAATGATAAAGTGACTAATAAGAGAGTCTAGAAGGTCTATTATGGTAGCTAAGTTCAGTCTTCTCTTCGGTTTGAGAAACATATCAAATTTTTAGCAAAAACTTATACTGGATTAAGTAGAATTCAATATCTTATTTGAAGTTCCATGCTTCTTAATCCTTTTAATTTGTCATCGAGAAGGCTAAAGGTCTACAATTGCTATTTTCTGTTGGAGAATAAAGCTATCCTTTTCTTTGTTCAAATTATGCACTATTTCAATCTTGAAACATCATCCAATAACGGAAAAATTGTTAATTTCATGAATTAATGTTTGCAGGACAAAAGAGCCAACATGGAAAGAGGAGTTTGCTTTAAATATTAAGCAGCCACCTCTGTATGATCTTCAGGTTGATAACTTGAGTTCATCCTTTCTCTCTAATGGTTTATTAATTAAAGGATAGCATTCCAGAAACTGTAACATTTTGCTTTTGAAATATGACTTCAATTTGCTGTAACTTAGCTCTTCCACATTAGAAAGTTAATACACGGTATGTGGTACGCTAAATCTCCTAATGATAAATGGGCAGCTCTAGTAAGATATGCAACTTGAAAAGCTTTAAGCTTTGTAAATATGCCAATCTTCAGTAAAGGATGCTTCCTATGAACACTGCTAAATTAACTGTCTTCTGAGTGACTGCTATACAATTATGGACGTGTAGGCGATCTTCCCATATCTAACAATGTCTTTCCTGCTGAATGCTAGTTTTGTATTTCTACTTCCTGCTGAGATCCATAGTATTAACCAAATTGGAACAAACAGAATCAGTCTTTTAAGGTTATTGGCCTCGGGCTAGAACTTAGGGACCCAGAACTGCACATCTTGGTTTATGTTGTCTAAGATATCCACAACAGTCTGCTTCTGTCTTTTTAGCTACAGTCTTTAAAATGAGGAACGACTTATTTTTTCGTTATTTTTGCCGTTATCTGCTCGTTAGAGGATTTTCGGATGCAGTATGCTGGCATGACAGGTTTTTAGGTGCTCTTATTTCTCAATTCCAGATCTGATGAATTATTCATTACTACTGTCAGCTTGCAGCTTGGGATGCAAATCTGGTGACTCCACATAAACGCATGGGAAATGCAGCAGTTAATTTGGAACACCTCTGTGATGGTACGAGCTCAAGAAATGGCTCTCATGATATTGTGCTTCAAATAATTGTCTAGTTATCACGTTGGCTAAAATATCATTCATGTAAAATAATGTTTGGCTTCCTTTCCAACTTATCCCATGAAAATGGGGGAAGAAGTTCTGAGTTCATCTTCAGTATGCATTTTGGTTGTGTTTTGATGACTATGTTGAAGGTGTCTCATTGCTCATAAAACAAATTGACAAGGGAAGAACACTTCTTAAAGGAACCAAATTAGTTTCAATAGTTCTACACTTCTGAATACTATCATAGCTGATATAAGAGCTGACATAAGGGTTGCCCCCAAGGCCTAGCTCAAGTGGCAAAAGGTGGAGGATTTGTGGCTTAGGTCGCAGGTTCAAGCCCCACACCATGCAAAGCGAAGCTTGGTATTTAAGTGGAGAAGGGTAGAGGGGCGGGCCCATTATCCACCGAGTTTAGAAGGCTGTGATTGGTCCAAAGGGCGGGTCACAGACGGATTTCTCGGTTATCAAAAAAAAAAAAGAGCTGACATAAGGGTTAGGCTGATGTACAGATTCCATTGATGTTTTAATTTGTGAAAATAACATGTGCTTTTCTAGGAGATTCTCATGAACTGCTGGTTGATTTGGATGGAATGGGCGGTGGTGGGAAGATAAAGATAGAGGTAAGTTGATTTGAATCTGGAATATTCAAGGTTCAAGATCACTAAGACCTTGTTTATGTGTAGGAAGCAATCAGGTGTTTGGTGGTTCATTTTCTTTTGGTTCTTCCTGACTGGATCACTGGAACTTCTATCTGAATATTGCTTTCTGGTTAAGAGTTAATTTGTTTTTCGAACTTGTTGAGACAAAGAAATAAAGTTTTTTCTATTTAATGGAATTTCCGACCTTCATTTTACAAGGATCCATCAGACCATCACATTATTTTGATGTGTCTCTATAGCTGAATAGTATGCTAATCTTAACTTCAGAAATATCCTTTTTAAATGATACTCAATTTGACCATTGTTTATCCAATTCGAGATTTCACTAATTGTCCTACTAACATGATACAGATTAAGTACAAGAGTTTTGAGAAAATTGAAGAAGAAAAGAAGTGGTGGAACATCCCAATCATTACAGAATTTCTAAAGAAAAATGGTTTTGAGTCTGCTTTGAAGACAATTCTGGGTTCCGAGACTGTTCAAGCTCGACAATTTGTACAGTTTGCGTTTGGACAGATGAAGCTACTTAATGATGCATATAATGATTCAAATAGCAGCAGCAGTCCTGTTGTGGAATCAGATGTATTACCAGAGTCGCAGAAATCGTCCAACTTGAATGACTCAAGCAAGCCCCCAGAATCAGAAATCTCAAATAATTTGAAAGACACCAAAGTTGATGGTAAAGTGGAGTTAAATAGTGATGGAAGGAAGTCACATAACCGATGAACATGATTCCCCTGGCACTAAGATTTTCGAGAGCTCTCAATCAGATAAACATTTCTGGAAGAATTTTGCTGATACTGTCAATCAAAATGTTGTTCAAAGACTTGGTCTCCCTGCTCCTGAGAAAATAAAGTGGGATAATCTTGACTGGTTAAATAAGATTGGGGTACAATCACGAAAAGATGCAGATGCAGGTTATGTTGAATCTGGTCTGGCAACTCCTGATAAACAGGAAAATGTTAATGGTAGTGCATCAACTGAACCACCTATTCTTAACAACATTCAGTCATCACTTCCAGATATCAAGAAGGTGACACAGGACTTATTGCGTCAAACTGATTCCATTTTGGGAGCATTGATGGTTCTAAATTCTCAATTCAACAAAGGAGCAGGCCTTTTCGGAAAAGGTGATGCTAAAGAAGATTCTTCAACTGGACTGGAAAATGACATTCTTGGATATCCCATGAATAAAGATGGAATAGTGTTGGATGAGAAGAAAGCTGAGGAGATGAAGTCTCTTTTCTCAACAGCAGAGACTGCCATGGAAGCTTGGGCACTGCTAGCTACTTCATTGGGACATCCGACTTTCATCAAATCTGAATTCGACATATTATGCTTCTTAGATAATGAGTCAACTGACACAGAGGCAAGTTCATATATTGCTGGCTATGGGTTCTTAGTTTCTTATCTATCTTAGATCTGATTCATTTGATCCAAGGAAAGCTATTCTGCTGATATTGGATTCTGTAAGACTTGCAGGTAGCGCTCTGGCATGATTCAGCAAGGAAACGGTTAGTTGTTGCTTTCAGGGGAACAGAACAAGTAGGTTCTGGTGTTAAACACATCTTTAAAACTTGTTGATTTAGCTTACTTGTGGATGACCGGTTGTTCTTTTATCTAGACAAAATGGAAGGATCTTGTGACGGACTTTATGCTAGTTCCTGCTGGGTAACATCACAAATCTGTACAAGCACAGGCTGGCTTTAGTTTTTTTTTCTCTCTCTACTTAGTTTTTCTGGTTTCTCTGTACTACTAAGTTGTTTTTCCTATCACAGTAAACAGATTCTTCCTCCGTTTCAATTTGTTTGTCTTACTTTCCTTTTTAATCTGTTTCGAAGAGAATGTCTCTTTCCTTTTCTGAAAACTCTTTCATTCTAACTTTCCACGACATGTTTAAGACCACAAGATTACAGGTCATTTTGGTACCTTCTACATATCTTAATTTAAGACCACAGTATTCAAAAGTCTTCTTTACTTTCTTAAACTCCGTGCCAAGTCAAAACCAGACAAACAAATCAAAATGGAGGGAGTAATTTTTCTCCTTCTCTAAGTTCTCTGAAAGTGTACTTTTATTGAAATACGACTGTTTACTATGCTGAAAGAAACATTTCCTTTTTCTTAGAGGAATAGGATTGGAAGAAAACCTTCCATCCTACATTATTAAGTGTAGACTGCAAATACCATCATATCTAAAGGTTTTCCTGAAAAAAGTTTGAACTTCAAACATAATTTGAAACAACAAGAAATAGCCAAATGCTTTGGTAATTTTGAATATGAATTGTATGTTCTTGCATCTTCATTATTCGAATGTTGGACAGAAACTTTAGATGGTTAAGCAACCACTGTCCATTTTATTTCGTATCCTGAGTTGTCTCCTACTCTGCAGGTTGAATCCTGAAAGGATAGGTGGGGACTTCAAGGAAGAAGTTCATGTGGCACTGAAGTTCTTACTTTTCTATCTCTAAGTGCCTGAATTATGAATGTATTCTATTTATATTTATAATCCTTCTCATTATCAGAACCAGAGGTTATTTTTGTAGGTTCACAGTGGTTTCCTAAGTGCATATGACTCAGTTAGGATTAGGCTCATCTCGCTTATCAAAAAAGCAATTGGCTACCAGTAAGTGGACTGTCAAACAAAACTGTACAACATTGTTCCTCCTTTCGAATGGCTCTTTCGTACGTTCAAGTAAAAGTCTTGGCAAACTGAAAGAGGGTCAGTCTCAAAGCAAATGAAATATTTCTTCAAGTCTTTACTAAGTGGACTCGTGTCATGAGCTTAGTGTTATACTCCAACTCTTAAAACTTGTAACACGCTTTTGCTTTACTGAGATGTCTAGACCTGCCTTAGTCTTTTTTCTTCTGTTTTTCCTTCTTTTCGTGTGGGTCTTGTTGCTGCTGCTGTACATCTTATTCTTTGCCTTCTTCGCGGTTTCTGCTTTCTTCTCTGTTTATGATGTACTTACTTCACCACTAAACATTGATGTCACATCGCTTATTACAATTTTAATGTATTTTCCAGGGATGATGATCTTGACACACCAAACAAATGGCATGTTTACGTGACTGGCCATAGTCTTGGTGGTGCATTGGCTACTCTTCTCGCTCTTGAACTATCATCAAGTCAACTAGCTAAGTAAGCTCCTCCTTTTCTCTGCTTATATCTGTAGCTTGTTTCCCATCCATTCTATATAATTTACCATTTACCAACATCTCGCCAATAGAGCATGCATGTGTGGTTTTCTGCTGTCTAATTAACATGTTTGTAGTTTTCTTTGAGAATTTGATGATACTGAGTTGACCACAGAGCCAGGAGGCTTTTTAGAGAAGTTCAAATGATACGTCACCCACTTTTCTTTCTCAGCCACACTATTTGTTCTATACTTCTATAGTGTTTTGTTATTACGTTGTTATGATATATTAATGCTTGACAGATCAATTATGGAGAATATTCAGCAGCCTTAGAAAGATCACTTGGGTGAAACCAAGAAACATAGCACAACTCCTAAATTGTTGGATCAATATTGGTAATACTACAATTAAGGAGGAGAGATGGAGGATTGTCCCAGCTTGTATATGGTGGACAGTGTGGAAAGAAAGGAATCAAAGATGTTTTGAGGGCAAGAAGAACAATGTGCAGAATTTCAAGATGAATTGTATAGCTCTTTATTATTTTTGGTGTAAACAGAAAGTCTTAGTACAGGCAGAAGAAACTTTTTTGATGTTTTAGACTATTTGTGACAAAAAGCACAGATGGAGTCGGTCTAGTTTGTAATACTTTTGGAAGAGGGGCTACTTTGATGTAGTATACCTGTGGATAAATAGAAGAAAAAGTTACCATTCTCAAAAAAAATATATCATTAATTCTTGGAGACTTGCATAGAATTCCTCAAAATTGGATCTTCTTTTAAGTTCCATATCACATTATTTCATTGTTCTTACTGCTTTTAGTTCCATGTTCCCTTTTTCCAACTGCTTTGAAATGCCTGCCCTGAGCAGAGGGTCTATGGGAAACAACCTCTATCTCTACGAGGTAGGGAAAGGTTTGCGTACGCTCTACCCTCCTTAGACCCCACCTGTGGAATGGGTATGTATTTTTAAGAGAAAAAGTTGTATAATTGTTGGTAGAACCATATCACAAATGTACTTTTGAAGCTAGTCACGTAAATAAACCTAACAATATTTGACTGCGTGACATTTTGTACCCAAAACTAATGTGCTACCAAGCTGCAGAACATCCCTTCAATTGTTCCATGTCGCCACTTTGAAATCTTTTCTTGATGGTTTCATCTTTTTAACCAAATTGGACTTGTAGGACCCTAAGTAAATTGTGATTGCTAAGCTGCTTGCTCCATAATAATAGAACATCTTGCAAATTAAGGAGTTCGCGCAAAAAGAACAAGTCTGCAACTGTTAAATCCAAATTGTCGGGCTGCCCTTGTTCTTGAAGTACTTGTGGAGAATAACCAATGCCTCTAGTTCTAATCATGCTAACACTACATATGTGACCGTCTTATCTTTCTTGTTGGTTGTGTTAGGCGTGGAGCTATACGTGTGATCATGTACAACTTTGGATCGCCAAGAGTTGGAAACAAAAAGTTTTCTGAAGTTTATAATGAGGTATTGTTTACTCTCTGCAGAAGTGAAGTGCTTATGTTGAGACTAACTATATTCTATATTGCCATTGTGGTCTCGCCATTCGTTTATGACAATCTTTTGCAGTTATAAATTAAAGCGGTCTTTACTTCTGAAACAAGTTAATGAAGGAAAAACAAAAAACAAGAACCAAGAAAAGAAAGGAAAAATTGACACACTAATAAATATACACAAGCTGGTTCACATACTCAACCTTGCGCCCTTGCCTAATTATCCCTCCTCAGTAACAATGGATGAAAATGATTTTTGATGTTCTCTCTCGACTCTCGGTCTCTCTTATGGAGGTGGCTTGTAATATTTGAAGTGTGAAACTCTTGGGGTTTCAGAACATGCTATTGAATAAGCATTGGTGCGTTGTCCAACATGTCAGACCAACTTTTAGCAAGTTTGAGCCATAATCAGATGCCTTGTCACATTGTTTGCCGATAGTTCATGAGAATATCTTGCCTGTTCTTCTAATGTAACATGGTGAACTGCTGTAACACATTGTTGTAGCTCTTTAAGAAAAGTGACCTTACAAAATCACTTTCGCCTGCTTTGGAATCGTACTGATAGTTTAATTTTGTTAAATATTGAGCGACTCTATATAACTTAGTTGCTTCTTATATTTTAGAAAGTTAAAGACAGCTGGAGGGTTGTAAATCACAGAGATATAATACCAACAGTTCCTCGCTTGATGGGCTACTGCCATGTTGCTCAACCCGTTTATTTGGCAGCTGGAGATCCGAAAAACACAATGGTGAGTAGATTTCATTTTCAAACTTTTTACCCTATACAATGTTGGATTGGCAGAATTTTGGCACTGGTAAGGAAGTTTTGTTTTCCTGTTAGAGCTTAAAGTGGAAAAATGTGTCGGATGGTTAGCTTAATTTGATGGAAATTGCAGAAGGTTCAAAACAATTGGCCTTTGTTATATGTTCTATAGAATTATTTACTCAATTGCTTGAAATAACTTTTTGAGATTTTCTTCTTTGTTAAGGTAGAAAGTATCGAGAAGGTTTATGTCATTTTTTACTTATTGTGTATGGGAACCTACTATCCCTCCCTGGAAAAAGTCAGAAAGAAAGTATGATCATATTTGACATCATTCCTTTTATCCTTGAAAGGAGCTTGTTACTTATGTCTCGGGACATTACATTTCAGGATAATATGGAACTCTTGGAAGATGGTTACCAAGGTGATGTTATCGGAGAGGCCACCCCTGATGTTATTGTCAGTGAATTTGTATGTTTCTCCACCTTTGTTCTCCCGTGTCTTTATTTCCTTCTTTTTTCGTTTTGTGCTCCATTTCATCCATTAATGATATGTTCTATTAAGATCTTGAACTGTATTGCTACTTACCATACATTTGATCACTTGAGACTTCTGTTTATTCATTTCGTTCAATACTTAGCCTAATGGAGGGTGTCCTTGAGCATAATGTCACAGACTTAGGGTTTTTGCTAAAGCTCCGTGTGACGCTTGACAACTTACTCACTACTCTTTCAATGCAAGCTCAAGCAAACCTTTAAGATTAAGATCGCTCTCTTTCAATGCAAGCTCAAGCAAGCCTTTAAGATTAAGATCGCTTAGAGAATGAAAGGAAAGACTTAGAAAGAACAAAAGAGCTTTGGAAGAAGGTTTTTTGTATTGCTTTGGAAAATTGCTTACAACTTGAGTGATGCCTTGCAAATGAATGGCACCTCTATTTATACTACCATCTAAGGACTAAAGTGTAAATTAAAATTACTTTACAAGTCCCTAAGATATTTACACATTGGTCCCTTTCTAGAGAATTCTACATTATCTAGGACCTTCCGTAACCTTCTTGAGAAATCTAAAGAATTCTAGAGTTCTCCGCAAGCTTCTCCTCAACTCTAGAATCTTCCGCCCCTATCCGGATGCGGAATTTGACTGGCAAAGTGGCGGGATGTCACAATAAGCTTATCAATTCACTCCATTAGATTAAGTTTAGAGTCAGCATGAAGATATGTTGCTCGGAGCCTTGTGTCAGATCTTTCAAAAGCTATGCATTTTTGGAGGATCCGACACAGGTTTGGCAACATTTTTGGGAGATCTGAGCAACAATTGGAGGAGGGGAGCTTATTCGGAGTTATTTTTGCTATATGGAAATTATTTCTTTTTTATTTAAAGGTAAACAACTCTTGAGAAGCTCGCGATTACTTATCGTAACGTTTTGTGCAGATGAAAGGTGAAAAAGAACTTATTGAGAAAATACTGAACACAGAGATTAACATATTTCTAGCAATCAGAGATGGCAGTGAACTTATGCAGCACATGGAAGACTTCTATTACATCACTCTATTAGAGGTACTTGCATTTCCCATTTACACCTTACCATTCTGAACTATGTTGCTCGAACTCTTCAAAATGTCGACAGGTGCAAGTCAAGTCAGATCCTCCAAAAGTAGTGGACTTTTGAGGATCCGACATGTGTGTTGCAACATTTTTGAAGAGTCCGAGTTACATACATATCCAACATGATATGTACTTACTTTTTTTATGCTTTCTAATTCTTTTTCCAGAATGTGAGATCAAACTATAGAACTGTTCCAAGGCCACTACTGACAGAAGAGAAGAACATATCAATTGGCTAAAATGGAAATTATCAAAATTCACCAATGTTGATATTTCAATTTCCAAAGGTTGTAAATAACAATAACACCAAAAAATTGGCTACATTTATTGTATATATGTATGATTTTTATTTATGCAATTGTACATTGTTTGGTTATTTTTGTTAATTGTTACAAAATTTAAAAAATGATAGAACAATGAAAACAAGAGGACTAAAAATAATTGCCTTGAACTAAAAATAGAAAAAAAAATTACACTTCACAAACAACAAAGAAATGACATGAAAGAAACATACAATCTAGAGGACTACCACTAATTCTATATTCTACTAACCAATAGTATCATTACTACCTAGATCTTTGACTAATAGATAAAATAGTTCTTCCCTTAATCAGAGGTCTCGAGATTCAAACTATGAGTATAGTGAATATCTCGACAAGGAGTTCTAATTTCACTTTATGCTGAATCACGCTCCAATACAGATAATGAACATTGGGCGGAAAAAAAAACTAGTACTACATTTTACATATGCAAGCTTTTTGAAAGATTCTTAGAAAAGTTTGTTGCTTTCATATTATAGCTCATGATTTTCAAACTTTGCCTTAAAATGTCAACTTCCCTTTCTCTCTTGAGTTCTTGTTGTTCCTTTGAAGCTATTTCCTCTTTTAGAAGTGCAATATTTTCCTCTTTTTCTTTCAACTCTCTATGCATCTCCTCTAATAATTCCATTTGTTCCTGTTTTCCAACATAGTCCTCTTCCTAGTCAAGCAAATCAAACACATTAGAAGGACAAAAAAACTGACTTTCTGACATAACAACTGTTCATTGAGTGACTAGCTGATGAAATTTAAACGTACCTTGATTTGTCCTATGAATAAGTTCATCAAGCTCAATCTTGATAGCAAAATAAAGTTGTTTCCATTTCTCAATTGCTTCATCTCTTCTAGCTTCTTCATTCCTAATTTGCTCTAACAAATAACTTGTTGCTAATTGATGCCACTCTTTATCTTCTTTAACACTCAAATTCTCTATTCCTTTACACTTCTCTTCTTCTTCTTCTTTTTCTTCCAATTTTTTCTTCAACTTCTTCACTTCCTCTTTTAGCTTCTTCTTTTCCTTCTTCCATTCTCCTTCTTTCAATGCAAATATGATCATCTCTTGTGCATTAACTTGACTCTCATGTTCCCTCATACACATTATTTCATTCACCTCACCTTGAAGAAACCTTACGTTGTACTTCAACACTTCAACCACTTTGTCTTTTGGTTGGCTTTTGTCCTTGGTTTGAAAACTTCCCATTTCTTATAATCCCTAAAGTCTCCTATACTTTTAGTAGTACACTAGTTCTATGTGTATATATAGATAGTGTGTGTGGGGGGGTGGGGGTGGGATAAGTACACATCTTAGGTAAGGAAACTTCTTTTTTCAAAATTAGGTGGAGTCTTCTAAAATTTGAAGATCTAAAGCCTAATAGTTGAGAGTAAGGTTAGAACATGATGCAAACAAAAGTCTGATATTTAAGTGGAGAAGTATGGATGAACGGAGTCACTATCGAACTTTGAACCATGCGCGACCGACTCTAGGGGATTTCTAAATCATCAAAAAAAATAATACAAACAACAAAAAACTTGGTACAATACATTAACAAAATGCATTAAAGGGTGTCTTAGATCAATAAGAATGGAGTATGGGACAACATGATTTTTTTTAAAAAAAAAGAGGCTCCAACCATGCAATGTGAAATGATGGCACTAAATGATGCAAAGAAAGTTTTGTACTTATTTTTGTTTTGTGGCTCTTGCATCAATTGATCAATTATTAATACACACTGTGAAAGATGCCTTATGTGAAAAAGAAAGAATTGGATAAGTCACATTTCAAGATATTGACATGAATGAATGACAGTGTGTCTATTGGGGAATAAATTCACATATTCCAAAAATCACATGTACATCATTTTGGAGCCTCTGATCAAGGTGGGGGATGGGGCTTCATTTAAAATTTAAATGGAATTTAAGTTATATACACTGTCGTGATAATCATTTATAGCAGGTTGTTCTTTTATTTTTCAAATCACAGTATCATGTGTGGTTATAGGTTTAAAACTTATATATCATTTATCGACGGTGCATAGAAATTATACGTTTCGAAATTTATCTAATAAAATGTAGGTTTTAAAAAATGTTGTTTGTGTGTGTGGTGGTTTGGGGGGGGGGGTAGCATGGGGGAAATGTTATTGTATTATACATCAATTTTTTGTACATATTTTGCCAGCTATTAAGGGGCCTACAATCTTTGCTGAAAACATGGGATACATTATTGACAAAGAATCTTTGTTTGAATATTATGATTTTGTATTCACCTGAAACTTTGACCACCAGAGGGAGCATGGGTTTAACTAGTTTAGTATTTTTGACACGAAATATAAACAATAAAGTCCCGAGCAAAGGTAGATGACGATTATTGCACGGTAATATTTAGCAAGTTATTGAAAATTGATATGAACTTCTTATAAAATAGAATAGTAATAATAAGAATTGACCAACAGATCGTGTGCCGATGAGAATTCGTTCCATTGATTCAAACATAATTCCTTGTGTTTCCACTTTAGTTGGGATGTATACTTTTGCTATCTTAGAAATGTGTTTATATTACCACTAAATTATCATAGCGTTTACTTTTTTTTTTCTTCAAAATAATAGTTGATATATGATCAAATAATAATTAAAGTATTGGAGGTACTATTGGTCTTGGAATATTTTACTTACTAAACAGACAATTCTTCAACATTTAGGTATTTCTAGGTAGAGAAAATGTAATTTATGTACCAAAAACAAAAGACTTTTGATAATCAAGTCACCAAATCTTGTTCTAGTTGTTTAAATGAGAAAAAAAAAAGAGAAAAAAATAATCGTTTAGTTTAGTTGAAATGTGAAAAAGATAAACCTAAATTCGAAAAGTCTAAGTAAGAAATATTCCGAAGCATGATAGCCAGAAGTCCATATATATGTTAAAAACATCTTTAAAATTTTAATTCACGAAATTAAATATTGACTTCACTTTTGAGAATACATTATCATAGAGTCGGGATATGATCAAATATTAACAACTTTATAAAGATTATTTAGAACTCCAAAAGTGAAGTCAATATTTTAATTTCGTGAATAAAAACGAGCTTTTGTTGTGCAATTTTCCTCGTAAAATTTCTAGCTCCGCCACTGCCTTTTTTGTTTGGGGTTCACATGTTAATATACATATATTTATTTAATTTTGTAATACAAATATAGGAGTCTACGAAAAAAGCTAGTGGATTCGTCCGAACCCATGAACCCCACCTAGCTCCGCCTCTGATCGGAATATGATCAAATATTAACAATTTTATAAAGATCAAGTCATTAAGGTTTGTGGCTAAGATCCAAAATAGGTGTCCTTTATCAAGATAATGAAATTATATAATATATAATGTTAGAGTAATTTACGTTATACGTAAAAAATAATTCTAGTATATTATTTGCATCTATATTCTTTTTTACAAAGAAAATAAAGTCTCCAACTTACTTGAAACGTGGCTCCAAAAAAATAAAAATAAAAATTAACATCCATTTCTTTGACTTTGTTAGAATACTCTTTTTTCTTCCTTTTTTACATATAAACGAATACTAATATTGCTATTTATGAAAGTTTTGTCTTCTTTTTTTTTCCTTTCTAGTATGGGAAATTCATCAACTTTTGTGTTTTTTTAATTAACAAAAATCTAAATTGTTTATTTAAGATGCCAAGTTATATTTGCTTTACAATTGGTTAATTGTTTCCCCCTTTTATTATAAGTATATAAAAATTTCAATTAGACACTTTTAATTTAAATTTCAATATTCTTTTTACATGTGTTTTTATTTATCTACTAGTAATTTAAGTTAATCATATAAAAGATTTCATCTCTTTAGTCACACACATCAACCTTAAGTAGAAAATGTTCGGAATTTTATGACTTATCAAGGCGAATTCAATATAATTAAATAACACAATATAATTACATGAGAGAAGTATAAAAAACAACCTTCTACTTGACTAACTTAACTCAGATACACCCCCGATACACTCCCAATACATGAAATAGCAAGTGGTCTCAAACCCTTTTAGGAGCATGAAATTCTTAATAAAAGTCGAGAGAAGTGTTGAGAACACCCCTAAACTTGACAAGAATTTAGGGGTTTTCACTAATGTTGCGAAGTTCGGGGATGTATTTAGCTTCAATTAGTCAAGTAAAGAGGTGTTTTTAAGGCTGTCAATAGTTTAGGGATGAAACTAATAATTTGCGCCAAGTTTAGGAGTGCTTTTGATACTTCTCTCTAATTACATGGTTAACTTAACTACTAATAAATAAATAAGAACGAACGAACAAACACAAACAAAATCCAAAATTTAACTGAAAATGTTCTATCGCAACATTTTATTAATTAAGAGATAGAAGTGTTCAATTAAAACAAAACTTAATTTGACGTCTAAATGAAAAGACTAACTATATATGAAGTTATTAATTACTATTTTTGAAAAACAGTTTCTCTCTTTATATACATATATTTTTTTTTTCTAAAGTTAATGAATACACGTGCATCCCACCTATACACATGGGTTCACCTCAGTAAACAGGAAAGACTAGCTACTTATTTTTCTTTTCCATTATTAGTGATGGCGGAAGTAGTAATCAATTTTTTGGAAAGACCTTAGATACCAAAATCTAAAAAAATTATATTAAATCAGAAGATCGAGGAGATTTATTGATATCTTCATGTATTTTAAAATATAGGCCTAACCCATCGGTGGTCCCTTAAAATTGGCACGAAATTTCACTTGGACACTTCAATTGGACGATGTTCATTCTAGACACCTCATGTAGAGTTCAATTGTGTCATTTTGATACTTTTTTTTTTCAATCAACAAAATTATATGAGGTGTGTGTATTACACTCGCAAATGACATGTAAAGTGACAAATTAAATGATGACACTTGTCATTTGTGTCAAAAGCAATTCTTAAATAATGAATTTTGAATAAAAATAAAAAGTGACCAATGAATGAATAACATGGAATTTTACCCCAAAAAATAAAATAAAATCCACTCATACCCCCCCCCCCGCTCCCACCCCACACTGCCTTCTCCAAATACCTATCCACTTGCAGACACCCCCGTTCCTCCCCTGATTTCTTTTGTCCAAATCCCTTTTTTTGCATAACATCTGGGCGCACACGCACTTACACACGGTCCATGAATAATTTAATACTAAATCTCGAAATAGGTCTATTCTTAAATTTCTAAAATATTTTTCATCATCTTATTGTAACTATATTTATTAACCATTGTTGAATGTTTAAGTTTGCAAAAATGGTGGCTTAAAATGAAGAAGAAGAAGAAAAAATTTAAAAGTTTACTATATAAGGTTTTCACGCGGTCAACGAGTGTATTACATTTACTATGTCAAAATGACACAATAGGAGCCAACATAAGGTGTCTAAAATGAACATCGTCCAGTTAAGGTGTCTAAATGAAATTTCGTGTCAATTTTAAGGGGTCACCGATGGGTTATGCCTAAAATATATAAAGGAAATTTTACATGATATAACATCCATATGTTATTGTTGACACCCAATTTTGGACCTCCAATATATAAAGTAATCATTTCGAGCTTCTCAAATTTTAAATGATTTAAAATAATTAGTTTTATAAAAAATTTAAAAAATAAAAATAAAATAAATGTAGTTTGCAAGTTATTTTAAATAGTTTTATCACTTTTTATAATTTTTAGATAATATATATGTTTTATATAATTAGTACATTTTATGAATATTTGAAAATCGTCTCAAAAAGATTTTGTTTTGTTTAAATATTTTACTAATTAGTTTAGTTATATAATGGTTTACATTTTTGGATTTATTATTTTATAATTAAGTCGATTATTTTATTTCATTAAGATTAAGAAACTCATTAATTAATTTATATTAATTCATCTTATTTGGTTATTAGTCAAATACCTTAAACCCATCTAAGACTCAAAATTGGGCCTATTTTTCAGCCCAATTCCAATTCAATACCTTCAGAAGCCCACCTCTTCAGCCCACTTTTCAATCAATACAATGCAACAACGTACAACAATACAATTCCAAACGACCCCCATCCCTGCGTCCTCCTTTTCTTCTCCAGTAGTCCAGCAACGCGAAGAAACCCAGAAATTGAAGCCCAGCAAACCAGCGATTCCAACAATACCCCGACCCCACTGCCCATACTGGTCTTCTTCTTCTTCACGCGATAAATTCAAAAATCACGGAATTAGCAACGACTCCAAACAACACCAAACCGACCCCACCCCCTGCACATTTTCTTCTTCTTCCTTGCGTGTGAAATCCAACAGTCCATCAACGTCCGAAAATCCCACCAAATCGCGGAAATCCAGCAACCTTATCCAAAAGAGAACTTGAATTTCGAATTGAAATTCTTCCAATCCATCCGTTTTCCCCCTAAAAAATCAACCCTATTCTTCATCTATTTAAGATTGGTTTCTCTATGCGTTTAAGGGGGGAAGAGACATGGAATAGAGGAAAAACATAGTGATATAGGTTCAGAAAAAGAATTTTGATTTCTATAGTGCTAAGTTAAATTTTTTGAATCTCGAGCTTTCGTCTTAAGCTGTTTGTTCTCTGTCATCGGAAACTTTTGTTGGAGTTCTTTTCACGTGGTGGTGAAATAGCTCGCCTCAACTCGTTCGCCCAGTCGCTGCTCCAAAAAAGGTAAATGTCCTCTTGATTTTAATTTCTTGTTAGTTAATGTTGTGTTTATGCTTGTAGTTAATATTGTTAGTTAATGTTGTGTCTATGAATAGAATGAAATTTTCGACCTCCTCTTATGAATTTTCTATCGATTTTATCCCTTTCAAATGCCCTTTGTTTGTCTCACATGTTGTTCTTCTTGTTGATGTTGGATAATAGGAGTTCTTGGTCCTAGCTTGCTCCTAGCTTGCTCCTGTTCAATATGAATCTGTGTTATTGCTTAATATTTGACATCTTATCCTTTATTCTTTCACCTCGAGTTGACTGAATGAATTAACATATAAACATTTCGAGTTCATGTGCCGCCTTTACTACTCTTTTTGGGTTCTTGTATTGTGTCTGTTACTACTCGTTTTGATCCCTTTTATTTGGTTACTTTGTTGAGTCTACTTAGGAGTGTAGGCTTTGTTTCCGTTTTCTCATATGACATTTGCTCTGTTTTTGTTTTCTTTTCTCCATTCAAGTTTGCCGCATCTGTTTGTGTTCACTATTTTCCAATATTCAATTTAATCACTAGTGCCTTAATCCTTTAGATCTGTTTTTATCTCAATTAGTGCTATTAAATATTTTGCTTTGAATATTAAGTCCTTCAACATTTGTTCATACTTGTGCTTCTAATGAGTTTTTGAAATCAGGAAATATAGTATTTGTCATGTTATTTAAAAGATGTTTTACTTAAGTGCGTGAATAATTTCCTTCCGTTTCAATTCTCTAATTGATTAAGCATGAGATGTGCATTAACTTGTCAAGATGGAATTATTGGTAGGAGTATATGAATCACCTGGTGAGCATTAGTGATGCTTCTGATGCCTATATGTTCTCTGTTGATACTTGTAGTAATTTGTAAGTGTCTTGAATGAGTTATATCACAATTATCTCTAGTCGAATACATAATTATATACATGAATTGTTCAAAATCCCTCACTAATTCCTTTTCTCTTTACTTTTAATACATGTGACATCAACTCGAGTTCATCTTGGACTCCATCTTTTTTCCCTTCGCATTTTGAGAGGGCCATAAAGGCCCAAAATTCTTTTATCGAGTCAGCCAACCTTGATAAATTGAATAACAAGTCTTTGGAGTTGGTTACAGGTCTCAGAAAGCAGAAAAATGGTCTGTATACATTCGATATACACTGATATACAACAGATATATACAAAAACGAAAATTGAGTTAAATTCCAAAAATTGCTGTGAATTTGGCCCAAGAAAAGCCCAAATTTAATTTCTCCCTTACTCTTAAATTATTGATTGTGATTATTTATTGTTTATTATTTATTAACTCTAACTTTGGAATTGTTAACTAACTTAATTAGATTCCCCAAAAGATGAGTTATTTTCTTTGTGTTGGTTCATTTTCAATACATTTCTTTTTGTGTCGATTTATTTTATCAAGCAAGTAGTTGGTCAAATTTTATCACTTTAAGTAAATTGAATCTTTTGTTTAAAATAAAGAAAAAGAAAAAGGAAAGTGTTCTTTAATGCTTTTCACTTAATCATAGTTTATTCATTTTAAAATTGTTTTTAAGTTAAAGTACTTTTCTCAAATAAACTTAAAAAATGTTAGTCAAAACCTTTTCAATTAATAAAAAAAATATATACTTACTTAGTCATTTTCTCAAAAAGGTTAGTCAATTAATTTAAAATGATTTTTATGCTTTAATTTATTAAATTGGTTTAAATTATTATTTCAAAAATGAATTAAATAAATTCTAATTAATCTAGTTTTATTAATATTCTAATCACTTGTATTTCGAGTCAAATGTTTCATTTTGGATCTCTTTCTCTAAAAAATAAAATGTGTCATTTGTTTAACTATTTTTCTCAAAGTTAACCAAATATGGTAAATTATTATTCTTATGTTAAATCATTTTTTCTAAAAAATAGTCAAAATATATTTTAGTCAAGTCGCAGGTCAACCGCATGTTATATTATAATTTTTTTCTCTAAAAATAGTCAATTATATTTTAGTCAAGTCGCAGGTCAATCGCATGTTAGCGGGCATTTCGAATGCTTAAACCCTTCTCGAAGTGTAAATTGAACCCCGAACCCTCTTTGGTAGTTTCAAATGATTTTTTCTATTTAAATCTTTGAAAATTATAAGTTTTCTTAATTTCTAAAAAAAATAATTAAGTGGTGACTCTTTTCTAAGTATTTTTCTCAAATTGTTTTATACTTAGAACATTTCAAAAAGTGATTTTTCTAAAGATAATAAAATTACGGCGTAACAGTTATGTATTTTTATATAGTTGTACTTAAAAAAATTACATTTTATTATAACAATACTTTACTTTTTTTAGTCTCTCTTTCCTAATTCCGTTTACATCTCTCTCCTCTCTCATCGTCCTTCTCTCTTTATCGCATCCTTCCTTCTCATCCCCGTCTCTCACTATTTGTATTTTGTATTTTTCACCTTTCTTTTTATATTATATTGTTGTATATTTTCTTGATCTCTTTCTATGTATTATTTTTTTATCACGAATAATACAAGAGTGAATAAATACACGTAATATCACGGAGAATGAATACAAGCTAAATTAGAACAAGTGGATACAATATCCAAAGGCTGTGATAGCAAGGTGATGAACAAGTGCCCAATGTCGCTCTCTAAGCAACATGTTATACAGCTGAACTCACTGCATTGTCCTCTCCGTCTTCCAATTCAATCTCACCAACGCCAGCCATAAAATAAAGGGAGAATGCATAGGTACCCCCAGCCTATGCCCAAAATTTCTGAGACACACCTAATCTTTACTAAGGTTCTATTACCCTCCCGAATTTATTTTATATATAATATTCTACCCCTTTTCGGCCTACGTGACACTATCTTAATGAAACCTTTCCAACTAACATATCCAATTGTTTACATATTATCAAGAGGGAAGAATGTTATTACTACCGCAAATTGGTGTTGAGTAAAGACAAGCAATTCAACTTCCTTGTGCGAATTGATATGAATGACTCAAACCACAGACGGAGCATAATTGCTGAAGAAATACATCAAGCTGAAGAGCAAGCACCAATTATTGTTGATGATGAAGTCAAATCAGTGAGGATGTACAAAAAGAGGGCCAAGAAAACGACAGAGGGAGCGGCCCAAGTCAAACTGAAGAAACCAAAAACCGTTAAAAAATAGACGTCTTTCTGAATTATGTAACTAAAAAATGTGTGCATTTACTGCTTAACCAATGTTTGTATCTTATTAACTACTTATGTGTGAATGCGTAATTGCTAGTTTTCTATCTAATTCAAATGACAATTCCATTTATCAGGTCTCTACAATATACATCAACTGTAACTACTTACAAACTATTGTTGATGGCAATTCTATACTGAACTTGAAACGCTCACACCTCATAAGTGCTAAATTCCTTCTGTTGGATGTTACATGCGTTCAATAAAAAATTCGATCTCAAAATACCTATTCATTATAATATCATTTGAAATACACGAAGTATGATTACAGTTCATACCTAAAGGTCAGGTTAATTTATTACTCTTCTTCATATTGTTTGCTTCCACTCTCTCTGCAGTAATTCCAATTTCACTAAAACAATCATGCATCGACAACCTAATTTGCAGATTTCAATTGGGACAACACTATCGTTTATCTTTTTGTTTGGACAGAGTTTGTCTGCACAAAAAAGAGGTGTCTGTCACATGTTAGAAGTTACGAACTTTTCCAGCTACATTATGTAGGATTAGAATACCTTATTAAACTAATCCCAACTTTGGTTGTGATTACCTTATCTTTTATATGAATAAAATTTCAGAGCGATGTGTAAAGAAATGACAAAAATTAGAAATGGCTTATGGTAAGATGCATTTTCAGTTTTCGCTCAGAAATAACGTCTGTTGTCACTTCCTCCCCTTCTTGAAAAAGTGGTTGTTAGAGTAAGGGTTATTTTCCTATCATAGGGGTACACTATGGGCACTGCTGAATTTACTGTCCTTCCCTCAAGGCCAGATCTTAACTAACGGATTCGTTAAATAGACTGATTTTATTGATACTAGAAAATCATTATAACCAAAAGATAAAGAGATAATTGCACAAACTACTCTTCAAGTTTAGTTTTGTAATACTTACTTCCCTTAAAGTTTATAATATTATGTTTATTTCTCTTATTTTATTTTATTTTATTTTTAATAATTATTTTCTTAACCTAATTATTATTAACATAAAAATTTATGATTTAAATAAATTTCCCTTTATTATATATTGTTTAATTTAAATGATTTTATAACATCTTTTATTCCATTTATCAAAAAACCACAGTAACAGGACTATGGAAGGGATATTCAAAAACTAGTATCCAATATTTAGATGAAATAATTTTTTGAAAACTTATGCAAGGTGGGGAAAAAAGAAATGGTTCTTTTTTCTTAATTAAGAAAACAACTTCTCAGGTTAACTAAGGAAGAAAAAGAGGGAATAATTTGTGTGGGGTGGGGGGGATCTCAGCCTCATCCATGTCCAATTCCAGTTGGGGTGGGGGATCACATACTTGAATGATCTTTTGAGATATTTACTCCATGAAATTGCCTCCAAGTAAAACACTAGAATTTACTGATGGGGTGAGGATGGGGCCACGCCATTCCCATCTTGATTAAAGACTGATTTCACAAATCAAAATTCAAGTAGTAATCTTTGTTCATGGATGATTAGGGATAAAATAGACAGTGCACCTCAATTTTTTTCTTCACATTCTTGAAAATACATAGGGAGTCCGTCCATCACTTCGAGTAGATGATAACTATCTAAAGGTACTTATAACAATTCAAAAGACACTACAAATTACAACCACTCATTATTTCTAACTCCAAGTAGAATGCCACTCATATAAAACCTTCTCCGAAAAATAGAATTCAGGTCCTTTTTTTTATTAAGGGAAAGCGGGGAGGGGATTACAAGGTAACCCACAAAAGTCCAGCTAGTCAACCAACTAAGCCACTACGAATCCAACTCTTTTTCTTAAAAGGGAAAATCAGGAAAGGGATTACAAGGTGAAAATCAAACTCCCAAAAATTCAGGTAGTCAACCAACTCAACTACTAAGATTTCCAGTAGAATTCAGCTCATTAACATTCTAAACCAGTTAAATAGAACTATTAATTAGCAAAAATTCAAGTAAATAGAGTGAATTCAACCAAACCAAACCAAAATAAAACCTTTTTTCGGAATTCAGTTCATTAACATTATCAAGGAGTTAAATTGAAGTATTACTTAGCAAACATTCAAGCAAACAAACTAAATTCAACCAAACCAAAACAAACCCTTTCTCCATAATTCAAACAAAACCCAATTACCTTCTTTTTCCCAGCTTGCAAATGCTCTTTCTTTTTTAGTACTACCTGGTCCAAAATCCTCAAAAAATCAAATCTTTCCCCTTAAATCCTCATCCAAAAACCCTAAAAATAAACCCCAAAATTCTCCTATAAAAAACAGATCAACCAATCAATCAATCTACATTTCAGTTTATATACAAAAAATGTTTTTGTATATAAAAAACAAATCCTAATCCTGAATTTTCGGAGTAAAACGGATAAAAATCCGAGTAATTAACGGGCCAAAATTAGAATTTTCGGGACAAATATAGATATACAATTCACCTCTCTCCATTCTCTGCCTCTCTCTCCTCCTCTAACACGTAGCTACGAATCATTAAGTTATTTTTTGAATGGCTATATGCGAAAATTCACCTGAAAAAATTATACTTTAAATATTACCCAAAATAAATATTTATATTCAAAAAATGAATTAATTTATTCAATCAGTTTATACGTTATTCTTCACATTTTAGGAGGTTTTTATAGTGTTTGCTATCATTTACTTACGTTTGTGCTAATTGTCGTATAACTGGCGAATTCTTTGAATCATAAAAATGACGAATCAGTAGATATTGAATTTGAAATATTTTACCACACGTATTTTAAAAGTGCGATCTTAAAACTATAAACTCTAATTTGAAGCAAATGAGCAGATAGGCTTGACAAAGTTTAGAAAGAGTTTTTTATTATTCTATCATTTGCACAAAATTCTATTTATCTTCATTTCAATTAACGTATTATATTCCGTCACGATCTATAAATTAGTAGGTTCAATGATACTAATACTTTATTAAGTACTTCATCTTCATGTACTACTGGTAGCTAAATCTTTTAATGATTGCTTTTTTTTTTTCCCTTTTCGATTGGTGGTTTTATATGGTTAAAACTATTAAATGTTCTTGACTCAATACATAGGCCTGAACATATTAAAAACAATGGTATAATTTTTAATCACTGAATTTTGATTGTGACACAATTTTGAAACTGAAAATTAAAGTAATTTTTTCATTTCATGAGTACTTGCATTACATTAATTTTTACCAATCATATTTTCTAATCAACTCAGACGGAGGAGGATTATATTTAGGAGCAAAATAGAAACCATCTTCTTTAATTAACCAATAACATATTCCTGAGTCATATCCTCCTTCAGCACCACAATTTTCGCTCTCTCTGTACACTTTAAATGCAACATCTTTTGTACCCCATCAAAAATGACAAAAGAACACCGTCTCACGAAGTAGATTTGACCTGAACTTGAAATGAAAATCATTGTTAAATTTAGGATAATGCATTCCAAAATCGTCATTTCCAGATGCACAATGAAATTTTATTGGAGGATCATTTTTTTCAACACCATCAACTATATGACATTTGTTTGTTGAATAAATAACATTTGTTTGTTGAATAAATAATAAAATTGATAAAACCAATAAGGAAGAAAAAATATTTTTCATTGAAAGAAAACTCATACTCTTATAATTAGTTCAATGTTTATTTTACTTTCTCTAATAAACACCTTTATTTATAGTTGTTTCTTAAAGCTTGTTTGAATTAGTTTTTCAGTTATGACTCATTAGTCAAAAATCATAAATTGGATTTTTTGACTAATGATTTTTTATTTATTTTTAGTATTTTGGGTAGTAATGATCTATGGTAGTTAGATCATCTTCTAATTAATAATATGGATCATAATTTGTGTTTTATATTCTACTTTTCTCTCTCTAATAGTCTAGGTAGCTTTAATTGGTATTAAATGGCTATTAAATCAAAAAATATAAGTCAAACTTAAATGATTTTTAAGTCAAAAATAAAAAGTCAAATTTAAATGGCTATTAAATCAAAAAATATAAGTTCAACTTAAATGATTTTTAAGTCAAAAAATAAATAGTCCAACTTAAATGATTTTTAAGTCAAAAATAAAAAGTCAAATTTAAATGGCTATTAAATCAAAAAATATAAGTCAAACTTAAATGATTTTTAAGTCAAAAAATAAAAAGTCAAACTTAAATTACTTTTAAGTCAAAAAATAAAAAGTAGGGAGAGGCCTACTTTTGATTTTTAACTTTTTTTAAAGTTATTTTAAAGTTATTTTAAGTTACTTTTAACTTTGTCAAACAATTCCTAACTTATTTTAAGTCACTTTTGACTTATTTTAAGTTATTTTTATATTTGTCAAACACTTTTAAAAATAAAACACTTACCTAAAAATAGATTTGACCAACTTTTAAGAGCCCGTTTGGACTGGCTTAAAAAAGTACTCCCTCTGTTTAAAAAAAATGACTTAGTTTCCTTTTTAGTCTGTTTAAAAAAGAATGACCCCTTTCCTTTTTGGAAACACTTTAACTTCAACTTTCCACCTGACATGTTTAAGGTCACAAGATTAAAATTATTTTGGTATACTTGACATAATTTTAATTTAAACCACAAGATTAAAAAGTCTTTTTTCTTTTCTTAAACTCTGTTCCAAGTCAAACTAGGTCATTCTTTTTTAAACGGAGGGAATAGCTTTTAAGTTAAAAATAAAAATTCAAACTTAAATAACTTTTAAGTCAAAAAATAAAAAGTAGGGGCGACCTACTTTTGATTTTTGACTTATTTTAAGTCATTTTAAACTTATTTTAAGTTATTTTTTACCTTGTCAAACACTTTCCAACTTATTTTAGGTCATTTTTAACTTATTTTTAAAATTATTTTTTATATTTGGCAAACACTTTCATAAGTCAAAAATTGGCTTAAAAGTTGATCAAAGTTAGATTTGACCAACTTTTAAGTCAATTCAAACACCCTATAATAAACTATAAATAATAAAAGGGAAAAGGGTCAAATATGCCCCTAAACTATTCGAAAAGGTTTGGATATTCCCTCCGTTTAAAGTTTGGCTCACTCATGCTCTCGCCGTCCAACTTTTCGCACAGATATGCCCTTTTGGGCATTTGTT